AGGTGCTATGTTAGTTGGAGAGAGGGTAAGGCTTCCATTGGCTAACTCAGGCGATAGTTGGGACAAATTCGACTCTCCCACCTTCGGTAAGCGGTTTATTAATCCTGGGTCAACATTAAGCCCCCTGGAAAACATGAGAAAATATGTCCAGTAGTGATCGAGTCCTTTCAAAACCAACAGGGGAAAATAAAAAAATATGCTTAAACAAATGGAAGCTTGGAAGGCGGTCGAGGCAAGGGGTGTTAAGCCAGCCCGTCGGCTGGAGAAGGAAAAAAGGGGGACAGCTGGCCCGGTGGGTCAGGGGTGACCGGAGTGGGAAAAAAATGTCCATGGGGTTGTTTGGAGTGGGACATGGGCTTGCTTTTTTGTGAATTGACCTGTTGGGGACCTTTTGGGATTAAGGAAGTTTCCCTTGGCGAATGGCTCATAAAACCTATCTACACCAGTGGAACCCATCTGTTTCTAACCAATCTAAAAATGGACACCTACTTGAACATCTTGAGCTCTGAACGCCGGAAGCTGGTTAGCCCAGTGCCGAAAAAAACGCCACTGGCTCTAGGGATACCTTCCATTTTCATTCTCTCCAGGGATCCTGTTTCTGGAAAACCTCCTTTGGAATCCCGATCGGGAAAACGGATCCGGTTTTTGAGAAGAACGGTGGTTGAAAAGAATGGACAAGGAATCAACCCTTAGAGTAAAGGGAACCCGGCCCCAAATTGGCCAAAAGTAGTTTTGAGGTCCCCTCAAAATGAAATCGCGTTTAGGAACACTGATCAACCCCTAGGGAATCAACCCCCAGACTGGTTGTTCCCGCAGCCCAACATACACCAGCGATGCGTGAGCGAGCCATCTGCGCATCGCTGATGTACACGCGGCATGACAAGTTGAAGTCGTGTTTAGCTTTGGCAGGCGCAACGCCCAACAGAAAGCGTCAGCTTGAGGCGCCAAATAAAATTGTACTCGTTGCAAGCACCGCTGCTCCAACTATGAAACAAAGCGCTTTCGAATGACTTGCCTGAGCCTGCTGTGTGGCCACCAATTTAACGAGCTTTTAACATCAAAAGCGGTCAACAAATGTCCGATTGCGCTCTACATCCAAGGTTCCAGCAGGCGTTCTACCTATAAGGCCGGACCACTCCAAAAAATGATGGTCTTTGGAGAAGTCCATGTCACAATGTAACTGGCGCAATTTTCTGCTGCATGGCCTTATCGCGACCTCTGGAAACCCTGGAGTGGAGGAGGCTCTTGCTGCCGGGCCACCTTCTCCCGGCATCAGCCAACATGATGTTCGCCGGCTTCAGGTCGGCGTGAATGATCCGCTTGCTGTGCAAATGGGCAAGGCCCCGCAAGACGTTGTCCGTGACCAGGGCCGACTCTGCCTCTGAGAGGCTGCGGCAGTTGACAAGCTGGAGCAAGGACATGTCGTACGCCTCCAGCAGCAAAAAGTACCTTAGCGCGTGCCTCATGGTGAAACAGCATGTCGCATGCCCAACACGACCACAGCGCAAAGGGGGAACCACAAGCCTTGAAGGGCCTGGCTTCTTTGGTCTCACGTAGCGCTCACGGCTGCATTCCCGTCGAGGCCCAAAAAAAAAGAGCGCGGCCGGCATTCATCTCTGACCCTGATTACTGGTAACCCCTTGTTGCAGAAAGGTGGCCTCATGCATTGCCTCCAGGCCGAAACTCATCCGGATCTTACTCAAAAGAACAAACTTCCCATCTGCCATGTGCCTAAGGACTCCTGGTGGCTCCTTAGCTTCCTGTCTAAAAGCAAAATGCGGCCACCCCCAGCTCAGCGAGCTCAGCGAGCTCAGCGAGCCGTACCCCCCCCCCCCCCCGCCTTTTGGCCGGAGCAAAATCCGAGGACGCGCGGGTCATGTTCGTGGACAGGGACCCCGTCCCGTCCTGGTTCTCTGCCTGGAGCTGATCCAAAGGTCCGGCCCACGAAAGAGATCTGATGCTTCAGGAGGGGGGGAAAGAAGTGGCCCATGGCCCAAGCTGGGACACGAAGGGCCTGCTTGGATCATTTTCCGGGTGCCCAGAATTGATGATGAGCCAATATTAATACCTGAAATTAAATGGTAAATAGACATTAGAAGATAGATGATGGAATGTGACCAGAAATTCTAAGATACAGAACTAATACAATTTGCTAATAATAAAAGCATAAAGGTAGGATATTAACAAAACCAAAATGAAAGGGAAATAACATAAGAAAATAATAAAAGAAGGAAAGTAATAAATAAAAAAGGACAAAGATAAAGGGAATTACATTATGAATGAAAAGTTGATGTTAGAAGATTTATGATTTATGATGTCATTTTCTTCTCTGTCAGGCCTTTCTGTAAAGACAGTTATTAATATCTGCAATTTCCTTGTTTATTATTTCCTTAATGTCATTTTGTTTTTTTTAGAGTTTATTATTGGTATCTTTTCATTATTTATTGCTTTTTTATTTAGCACAAAGGGAAGATGAGAACACCAGAGAAACCGCCAAAAAGACTGGATGTGTCCACCAAACGGGGAAAAATGACTTTTCCATGGTCAAAACTAGGAACCCTAAATGGAGCATTGATCAACCCACCCCCCGCCTCAAACAGCCCGAAGCAGGGGCTCACGAAGCCACTCCCCGCCGCCAGCTGCAGCAGCTCTGCCTCTCGCAGCACCTCGGCCGGGGCGCGGCCGCTCGTCCCGCGCTCCTGGCAGAAGAGTCAAAACCTGGTACTAAAATGGCCTACCCAGAACCATGCACAAAATTAAGAAGGCAGCCGCAGCTATTTATGGTTGGGATCGTCCCTTACTAACCTTCATCTACCCGAGTTTTGAGCACGTGGCGATGGCGTGGGCTCAACTTCCGATGGGTAAAGAACCCCCTTGGGGTCAGCAGGTTTGGTCATGGACCATGGACCCCTTAATAAGAATTGAGACAACTCTTGTACCGCTATGGCGCTATCGTCAGAAAGGTGCGACAAAACTTTGCTTTGGGGGATGCCTGTCTGGAAGGACCACGGCGGCCTGACGAAAAACACGAAGCCTCCAGAGGTCTTCCACGTTCACACCTTTTGCCTTTCTTTCTGCGATGGGGAATGTGGGCATGAACTCAGGGAGTCCCTTGAAGAAAACCACAAGTTGGACTCGTGGCCTGCGCACCAGCAGAAAATCATCACCTTTTGACAAGATCCCTGTGAGCTTCTTTGATCTAAAAGCTTGCCCCGAGCAATCCGAACTACAAGCCTCGGCTCTTGCGGCCATGGCGAACAGGCGAAAACAAGATTTGTGAAGCCCTGCCAAACTGCAAACTGCGACTTCCCCCCAGAAATCCCCCGCTACGAGTGAAAGGGCAACGAAGGAACCACCATGAAACTCTCCGGAGCCCCTGATTGCTTGCAAAGGGCCCGCACGGCGCCTTACATGACATGTTCTTTGTTCGGACCCTTCCACGTCGAAGAAGCCTCTTCTTAAAAGAGGTTAAAACACAAACAACAAGGTGGCAACCCCCCTTTCCAGACGCTGGGCCAATTTTGTCCGGGCTGTCCCCAGGGCCCCCGCCGAAAGCTTTAAACTTTTAGTGGGTTGAATGGAAATCCAGCCACTGAACACAGAAAAGCGAAAACAAGACCAAAAAAAAGAGCTAAGGAACCGGATAGCTGGGCTTGCCACCAAGTTTTGTCGCGGGGAACCGTCCTTGAAGACCTTGGCGGCAAAGCCTTTCTCGCCTCAGCGAGAAGCTAGCGCCAGGTTTTGGACAAGTCCGAGGCGATCCAAGATGGGATGTCCACTACCAAACCGAAGCTACCCCCAAGGGCTTTAATGGGATATACAGCTAGCCACCAAAAAATGGTTTATAAACCACCAATTTTTAGTGGGAACTTTCGTTGGATATACAGCTAGCCACACAAAAAGAAGAAACAATGTAAAAAAAAAAAAAAAAAAAAAAAAAAAAAAAAAAAAAAAAAAAAAAAAAACGAATTTTCGTCCAGGGGTGGCTTAGGGCTCTCCCTTGTCCTACTCACAGCTCCAGGCAGTTGGGCAGAAATCAAAGCTGTGATTCGTCTTTTAGCTTCAAGGCATAGCTCGAGTCGGGAGCTTGGTTGATTCGAAGCGTGGAGGTTGATCTTGCCGTTTCGAGGAAGGTGGACAGAGACTGGCTGGCTTGGAACCACGCCAGCATGTCCCTTGTGAGAAAAAGGGCGCGCCTCCGTGGGCGAAGGTGTAAAGATTTGAGGGTCTCCGGGTTGCTGGGTTGGGGTTTGAGTGCATGCCCTGCGGCCGTGTGGCCGTGCGGCCATGCCTGCATGAGGGATTTTGGGCGCATGGGTGTGTGTGTGTGTGTGCGTGTGTTTGTGTCTGTTTGCAGGCCACCATCGACCTTGCATCTCCCCCCCCCCCCCAAATCTCCCAAGCCCCGCACCCCCCGGGGCCCCCGTCCGCCTGAGCCGCAGCGACATGCCACCACCACGCTAAAGCTGCCAGCGCCCAACTTCCGGCCCAATGCCACCGGCTGTGGCGGAGACACCTGGGCCATCCAACTCGGCCACGGAAAAAACGACGTGCCCGGCCGCTGCTTGAGCCAAAGCGCCTGCAAAAAACAATGAAGAACACGGCCTGCGATGCGTTTTCCGCACCCGCTCACGCAAAACATTGAGCCACATGTAAGTGTTTGATGTCAAATGTCGGTCTGGCTTGTGCACAAAACGCCCGGATTCTCAACCCAGTACACCGGGCTCAGGATGAAGCAATGAGACAAAGCAAACAAAGCGGGAACAGAGTAAACAAGATGTGGCTGACAGCGTTTGTACGAAGCCAGTGCTGCCAGGGTCATGATGTCCCAAGCAGCTGGTTTCGACGGCCTCACCATTTGCCGCATCTGCAAAGAAGCTTTTTGGGGAAGGAACGAAGTTTTGACCACGAGAAAGTCAAGGAAGGCACTGACAACTGGCCTTTCCCATCCCGCGAAGCCCCTTGCAAAGCCACACCACGCAGAGAAATTGGCCCCGCGCCGTTGCATTGGTGGACTTCTTCTTCAAGGTTGGCGCCTGCAGCTGTACAAGTGAACTTCTGATTCGCAATGCTGGAGCAGCGGCCATGTGAACACCACCAGCCAGACAGCAAATAGGGGGATCCTTTTTTTCAAGGGAACCCTCAAAGTGGGTTGTTTGTCTTTTGGCGTCCTTTTAAAACCGCAAAAAAAGTGCCCTCAAAAAGACATACCCATATCCAAACGGCTTAAAAGAAGCGTCCTCTTCGCGCCTTTGCTCCCCGAAATTTAAACCGCTCCCGCGATGAGCACCTGTGTGGAACCTCCGCTGCTCAGCGGATGGCTAGACTGGGCCACCCGGCACTCCCGCTGCGGCTCATGTTGTTCGTCATGGCCTCCGCAGCTCTGCCGAAGCCCGCAAAGTTGGACAGGGCATCCAAACAAAGCAAGCCTTCGATATCCCCCCAATGCTAACATTCGAATGCCCTCCCCCCCCCCCCTCCCCCCCCAAACCATCAACACCCCCCCCAAACAAAAAAAAACATCCCCCCCTTTTGCATGTCCCCCATGCCACACACCCGCCCGGAGCCCTCCAAACACACACACACACACACACACCAACCCAAAAGTGGTTGGTAATTGCATGACTCCCACTCGCGTCTCCAAAACCTTGGTCCGCTTTTGGCGGAACACCGAAACCCAACTGGCAGTGGGTCAGTTGGATATGTACCCAAAATGGGAATCCTGGCAAATGGAAACATGGATTAAACCGGGCGTGGGCCACCGCCCAACCCCGCCTGCTTCATCTTAGCCTCACTGGCCTTGGCAGCTGTCACTCGCCTGCGGGCGAAGGCGAGTGCCCGAAAAGCCTTCCATCCGAATCGGTAGTCCTGAGCGCGGTTGTTTGTTTCAGGAGGGCTTCGCATGTTCCTTCTACAGAAAGTTGAAAGAAGGGTAGAGGTGCGTTTTTTGTTTTTTCTGGGGCTGGTTTTTTTCCTGGGGCTGGTTTTCCACAGGGCTGGCAACATCACCAGCCTCAATCGGCCTGGGAGTTGTTTGTTGGCTCTGATTGGAAGGCAGTTGGGAGCTTTTAAGTCAAGGGGGGTTGAGGCTGGCTTAGATCTTCATTAGGGTGGGTCTTGTATTTGGGTGGGTTTGGGGGTGGCTTGGAGCTGATCAACCCTAAAGACACTGCTTAGCGGCTTAGCCAGAAGCACACCCAACACAAACCAGCTGCAGGCCAACCCCAAATTCACCCAACAACCCTAAGCCCGCCCAACAGCAGCCTGGATGTCAGCCCTAAATCAATCCCAAACCACCACAAGACCCACCCTAATGAAGATCTAAGCCAGCCTCAACCCCCCTCAACTTAAACCAGCCCCCAGCAACTCCCAACTGACTTCCAACCAGAGCCAATAAACAACTCCCGCACCAATTGAGGCTGGTGATGCCGGGGATGCAGCAAGGCAACCAACCAACCAACCAACCAACCAACCAACCAACCAACCAACCAACCAACCAACCAACCAACCGCCCAACCGCCCAACCACCCACCCACCCACCCACCCACCCACCCACCCACCCAACCAACCAACCAACCAACCAACCAACCAACCAGCCGGAAAAGAAAAAAAAGGCTCAAGAAGAAGAAGAAGAAGAAGAAGAAGAAGAAGGGGTTCAAATACCAAATCACCAATCTAAACCGCCAAATCAGGGATATCTGAAACAAGCAAGCAAGCAAGCAAGCAAGCAAGCAAGCAAGCAAGCAAGCAAGCAAGCAAGCAAGCAAGCAAGCAAGCAAGCAAGCAAGCAAGCAAGCAAGCAAGCAAGCAAGCAAGCAAGCAAGCAAGCAAGCAAGCAAGCAAGCAAGCAAGCAAGCAAGCAAGCAAGCAAGCAAGCAAACAACAACAAACCAACCAAAAAATCTAATGGCAAAACATGATTCAACAAAGCGCGCCACGCCGAAAACATGATTCGACGAATCGACTTCTTCAATCTCGATTCCCTGGCACTCCCAAAGGTGCCGTCGCTAGGCGGAGGGATTTGCTGACGGATCAAAGGCGGCTCGCAGCTTTTCAACAGATTCCAAGCACCAGGGGCTTCTCTCCAAAGGGTCAACCCCACACGCTTTGGTTTCGCTTTTTTCCTTTCAACCCAAACAACTCGAAAAGGGTTGTTTGTACAAAGAAAATAAGCACACACATATGCCAAGTTCAACCGCACATGCTTTGGCCAAGATTGGCTTTGCTTTTGGAGCCTTGCCCTTCGCCTCGTCCAGCTCATTATCAGCATGGCAAATTGAAACGAAGAAGAAAGGAAAAAACAGAGCCGTAGGCAAACATGCTTGTTCGCCTAAAGTCGCATAGGAGAGCATAGACTTAAAGAGGACCGAGGATTTTGTTAGTTGCCTCGCCCAAAGAAACCGACTAAACCCTCATAGCTCGGGATCGGCTCGAGAGGGGCCCTGCGGCTCAGTCCTCTTTGGCCCCCCTTCCGTCATGAGACGCATCTACCCAACAAAACAAAAAAGGGGGCCAGTTGTGAACGTGCCCGCACCATCTCCTGACGCGCCAGGTTTTGACCTTCGGCCATTTTAATGCCCTCTGCAATGGCATGACCATGCGGTCGGGTTGGACAAATTGCACACAGGTCCTCCAGCTCCACAGAGTAACCCGCACACCCCCAATTGCTCGATTTCACAAGGCTTGGGACATACACGTAGCCAAGAATCAACGCAATGGAGCTGCGAGAACCACGCCCCGGGGGAAATAACCCCGGCCCTTCAAGGGCACATAGGGCAGCTACACGAAACCGCCATGGCCAGGTGCAAAACGCGGGGCGTGTGGCGAGCCCTTGCCATGCAAACGAGCCTTCAGCAATGAGAAACAAAGCTTTGTCTTCTTCCGGGCGCAACCCAAGCCCGCTCACGTGACGGGCACCGGTCCGGGAACGGCCAAGGCAAAGTGGGCAGCGAGCAACTCTTGTGCGCGACAGAAAACCCTTATGCTCTGGGAGATGGGGGGAAATGTGTTTCACCGGGGCACACCCTGCGATTGGCCCTGTCTCGCTTCGGGAACTTCGGGGCTTCGGGGCTTCGGGGCTTCGCTCGCCGCCGCGCTCAAGCTTCCGCTTCGGTCTTCTCCTCCTTCTCCTTTCCTTTGCTCAGCCTGCGCCGGTGCCCTTCCCAACCCAAAGCTCCCGACCGCCATGCTGCGCTCATGTTGCAAGACCCTGGTTGACGATGGCAGGGGAGCCATAAAAAAAAGAAAAAGAACACCTTAGCAGCTAAGTGGTTGGAGTTCAGCCCGCTACACCACCACAAGCAAAGATGGGCAAAATGTTTCCCGACCACAGCCCTGAGACGGCCACGGCCCGCCGAGAAAGCGCCTGTACTCCAAGTTCTGGGCCTCGCTGATCTGCCGCAGCCTGGGCCTCAGGCATCGGCTCGAGCATCCGCCTGTGAATCCTGGGGACGGACGCAATCCGTCACCACGAAATGAAACCCCGGTTGAGAGCATAAGGATTCTTGGTATCTACGGTGGGGAATCGAATCTTTCTAGGGTTTCTTAGATGGTGCGAAGTGGGTCGGCTGACTCAGGGACAAAGGTCCGGGGTCTCTCTCGTCTGGCTGACTTTCGCAGTTGGCTTCAGGGTCTAGGCCGGACTGTGCTTGGCGGCTGGGATGGCACAAACTGGATCTCAGCCACGCGCGTAAAAACATAGGGAGTACAATAAAAAAATAGACGTGCATGAATCAAGGGTTCGGCTGTGCCAGGGTCAACACGTTCATGGGCAGCATCATGGTTATTTTGGCCCTTCATTCCCCCAACACCTGCCGCGTTCATTCCGTGACCCAACCCGGCTGCGCACCCCCCCAGCCCCAGAATCCCCGAGTGCATCCCATGGCTACCCACTTCTCTGGTTGAATGGCTGCCTCAAACAGATGCTCAAGGGCTGTTCCCATCACAGCGCGCATCGGTGCTGGAAGATTCATGTTGGGGAGTTTCACTCAAATGGTTCCGCAACAATCGCGCGCCGTTCTGCTCCAGATGCGGCCATGAGGACCACATTGCGGAATGCCACCGAGGCCAAGGCGTCAATGCCTTCAGCAAGTCCTCAATATCCGCGCCGCCGCCACTGCTGGCGCCGGGGATGCCTTCCAAGGTATCACGTGCGGCACCCGAGGCCAACCTTTCGCATTCAAGACATACCACATGCACTCCACATCCGGCCGGCCATGCCACAATTTGCTTTGGACCAGGGTTGCTTGCACATTCCTTTTACATGGCCGTGGCTCAAAATGAAAGAGCGAGGGTTACACGGTTTTCGACGTTTTCGTCCTTGTTTTCATGAACCAAGGCAAGCCATTTTGGGTACCCATTACTTCCACCACCTAAACCATCCACCTCCTCCTCCGGTCCCTTTACATACTTCCACCTGAGACATGGCCGTGGGTCGAAAATAGGCCTCGGAAATGGAACCAAGGACTAAAACCTGCGGTCCAATTCCTGGTGGTTCACTTTGACCCACAACCATCTCTGACCATCTCAGTAACTTCTCAACTTCCATCTCCCCCCGCAAAAAAAATGGAGGGCGGCTTCCATTTGCACGCGGCGCCGGAGAACGAATCTTCGCCCCCACATGGACTCCACCTCCCACTCGCTCGCCGGCGCGCGCTCGCGCGCTCGCCGGCGCCTTCCGGTTGGCTCTTGGGGCGCTCGGCCACCGAGTGCCGCGCCCGGGAGGTGATGGACTCCTCGTCCAGGCGCCGCGCCTTGGAGGCCTGGAAAAGGAAAAGCCGGGCGAGGCGAGGAGGGGGGGGGCGGAGGAGGGGGGGGGGAAAAGCTGGTGAGGGGGTGGGGGGAGGTTTGGGGGAAGGTCGAAAATGGACACGGGCTTGTTGGGACAAATGCGTGTTTTGTTTTTGTCCTTTTTGTTGTGGGAGGGAACCGAACCCGCGAACCCCCCCAAAGCAAAAAGGAAAAGGGGGTGAGCAGCCTGTGCGGCAAACATGTATCGAGTGAAATCCAGGCCAAAATTGTCTCATCCGTGGGTTTGGTCAAATAGAATCCGCAACCTGATGCGTTGATATATGGAATAATGGATGGGTGGCGAAATCATAGGAATCCAGGCAGGTTCATACGTGCAGAAAATTGATGTTGTTGGCCTGTTCTTGACTGGCCTTTCCTCTGCCGAGTAACTAGGCGCGAAGGTGGCAACAGCTCGCACATTGCTAACTTTGGCTTAATTTTCATGGCATTGCCCCTCACGCTAGCTGTCCAGCTTCCCATGAGCAATCAAGTCCGATGAGACCTGGAAAAATTACATGGCACTGCATAGGCCTCCCCCGGCCAATTCTTGGACGGGGGCCAAGCCAGCGCACCACCAAACAGGGCTCAAGCCATGAAGGGCAGCGCCAAGCATCGTCTTGGCGCCCGGCCCGGGCTTTGAGACTTTTGGTGCCCAGGCGGCCGAGGTCAACAGGCCTCGCGCCCTGCCGCACCACCTGAAACAATGATGGCTGGGATGCTTCAGCGCCGAAACAGCACCCCGACCACCAACCTGTCCCAAACTCACAAAACGGCCTGCGCCTTAGAAGTAAGAACTGGACCTGCCTTTGTCCAAGGCCCTTCTCAAGGCTGCAATCCCAGGCCCCCGAGCAGCGGTCGCAAAGATGTGCTTGTCCATCTGCGGAGCGGTGATCGTACGGCCCAAGCCCAAAAAGACATTTGTCCCTGTTCAACGTTAAAAGGCGCCGACAATTGACATTGAGACTGTTGGTGTCTAGGGGCAAAATGCTGCGCACCTTTTCGATGCGATTGCCATGGTTTGAGCGTGCT